AACTTTAAAAACATTTTTTTGTGTTGTGGGTTTGTTTTGTTTTAAAATAAAAGAAGTGCAATAAATAAAATAGTACAATCTTTGTAAAATACATAGCATCAAATACAATAATTCTGGACATAAACTAGTGGACTTCTAATTATGTCTTCTGTGTTAATGTCAAAAGAGACAAATGTATGTTGCACAGTAAAAAGTAGTATCTTGTTTACTATAATAAAAACACTTGATAACTTTGTCACAAATCCCAAGCTAGATAAATAGATGTTTCTCCATGTGTAACTTACTTTTAACATTAAATACAATCTTTTTTTAATATCCTAAGAATGTTGTATCAAATGGTATTCTAATCAGTAAGATTCCTCCAAATACAGATTTACAGTAAAGATGTAATATTCTCTGTTATATCACATGTTCAGGTCTTGCACAGAATTTTCATTAGGGCATGCAGCACAAAGATTATTTAGACTATTAAAAGATAAAAAAGAGAAAAATAAAATACCTTCATTATGACCACAGACAATGTAAGGAATAGTAAGACTGTGAGTTCATATATTACAAATGTGGGGAAAACATGAAGTCCTAGGAGGAAAGAAAACAGTATTTCAAAGTTTAAGGCCAATATCTTACTATGATAATTTTTTTGAGTTAATAATACATTTAATTGCAAGATTGTATTCTCAAAAACAAACAAAAAGCCCTAACATACCTACCAACGCTACCTACTTGATGACTAAAGCACTTCCTGCATTATCCAACCATTTTTCCTTTGGAGAGGTTTAGCACAAACAATATTCCCAACTGAGTTAAACTGTATATGACTGATACATGAGCACGTTCATTTATCAAGTTTTCTGTCTTCCACACCAGTCAACAATCCAGAATCTGAACTGAAACACACCTCTAATGAAAGCTATAAAAATACTGCAGAAAGACAATTCCATTGTTCTGCACAGTGATTGCACCCTACACTTTGCTAGCCATTTAACATTTTTGTATGACATGGTAATAGACTATCACTGTGGAAGGAATATGATATTCAGGATTTGCATAGACTATAGCTACAACAGAAAATCTAAAATCTAACTGGTTTGATTCCATGACCCTCACTTGCAAACACTGAAAGTGACCTGAACTGGAAAAGTCACCTAGACTGGAATAAGGTAAAATCATAAACCCCTGAGCATGGTCTAACAATTAAGGAATTATATAAAATCCCATTGCTATAATGATGTTGTTGATTTGGTTGGGGGTTGGGGGGGGGAAGTATCTGTCTCTTTCTTTTTTGCAATTTTTTTGTCATTTTAATTTGGTAATTATATGAAGCAAGATAACAAGAACCATAAAGAGCACAGAAATTTAAAACTAAATGCTGCTAATATTAAATGTAAGAAAAAATATTTGTTGGAGAAGTCCTGGAGTCACTGAGGAAGAATCTTACTCACAGCTGACTAAGTGCATTTTTTCCTCCTAGGGTATGAGGAACTTGTGCAGACAAACATAACTGTGTATCTTTGGAAGCTTATTCCTTTTTCATAGAAGCTCTTAAAAATAGTGGTGGTGTCCCTGATAAATCCAGAATAAACCCAGTTATTTCTGGTGAAGGACAAGAGTTTAGCTTTCTAAAGCATGAGGCATGTAAATCGATGCTGTAAATTCTTATTTTAATGCAAGACAAGTTTTCACTCATTTTCCCTGCCGCAGAGTGCTGCAGAGCCAGAAGAACTGTAGAGAACTAAGAGTCATCTTCTCTTCCTGAGTGCACAAGACAAGTTACTTACAGTAATTTCACAATATTTTGTCCATACACACATCCCATTGTGGATGGAAATGTATTTCTAAGTACATCAGAGATTTTTATCTAAGTACTACCCAGTCAGCATGTACACACTGTGTTTTATTTCTTAATTTCCTTCCAACTACTGAAGCACAAATGCAAAAGACTATCAGAATAAGGGAAGAGATGGCAGAGTAAGAGAGGCAAACACCACACCAAAAACAGAAATCCAAACGTGTGCACACATGCACGTGGAGGGGCAAGTAGCTTCTCTCTCTTTTTTACTGTGTATCACGTGCACATCGCTCATTCACCTTTAGGCCGGTCTCAGAAACGTACAGGAAAACAACTAGAGAAATACAGCCTGTAACAATGTCATGTTTGATGAAAGGGGCCAGCTCTGCCACATCTGGAACTGAAGATTTCAGAGGGAGGCTATAAATACAGCATGGTGCTCTCATCACTACTGGCAGAGCTACCTTTTCAGTTCTGGAGCAGACAGGCAGTCTGAAGTCCATTTGAACTGCTGCCCAACGTAGAGATTACTACCATATTCCAAAGAGCTAAGGCACAAACTACCGCAGATTTCGATACCAATCCCGTGGAGGTAAGCGTCTGCGAGGTGAAGCAAGCCTAAACCTGTTACATACACTATTCTGAGCAAACAAACAAACATCCCAGCACACAGACATGTTTTGGGGAAAATAAATCCCACCACAGTGGATTTCATGGTCATTACAGATCTTTGCCCCAGCCCTAGATGAAAACTTAGGATAAGGCCAGAAGTCATAGCAGACTGCTGTACAAGCACATGAAGCCTTCCTAACAACACGAACGTCATCAGAGAGATTAACTTCACAGACAGAAGGTGCATGAATATGGGCATTTATTTCAGTGGTTTTAATCAGGCTTTGTGACTAAGCTCAGGAGTCACTATGGACTTGTTCTCTAAAATGGAAGAAACGCTTCAATCAAATAATTCAAGAACTTCAGCACCGTCATCAGGTAGCAAGTGACATGTTGGCCTGTCACCAACAGCTAGGATATCACTTAGGTACATTTTCAGAGAGCTGAGCATAAGCCACCAGACTTCAATTCTAAGCAGTGTTCCGGAATAGCTGGAATGGAGGCCTTGAGGTGAAGGTGACCTTGCATCAATGTCAAGCCAAAAAGCACAGTTCACTCGTGTAAGTTGGTATGTGTTCTTCTGTGGATGATTACAGGCAAGATTTTGCACATCCTTTTTATAAGTACTTTTTTCTTAACAAGTCAACTCCCTCTCCCCCCTAAACAGCACGTGAAGATCCAAATGTCATGGCCACATCCTGGAAGATCCAGCATCAAGAAAAGGAATCTTGGGAGATCCTTGACAGCAAACAAGATTACAGAAACCAGAACTCTGTGGGTCAAATTGGAGCCAGTAGAGTCAATTCTGACACATCCGCAAGACAGGACATCGCTCAGAAAAATCACATTAGCGCTGCATTGGGATGTTCTATCTACAAAGAGTCTTAATGAACCTAAGATCATAGCTAGCAAATGCAATAAATGCTACAGCCCTGGCTAGATCGTTAAGTAGCAGGGGGGAAAACCAACATTCATCTCCACCTTTCTGCAAAGGGGAAAGTCCTCTTGATTCTAGTGTCAGTTCTGAGCGCTTGAAACCTCCAAGTTTCATTGTGTTCCATGCAGGACAACAAAGCAGTAGTCCTGGATGGAAACGGAGAAGGTGATATATGTCACCTAATAAATTCCAGGTTGGGATCTTCCTTTGATTTCTCTCAAATTCAACAGAAATGTTAAGAGGCTCATCAGAGAAACACTGTGTGCGTGTTTGTTCTGGACAGTGGTGGTGCTGACAGTGTCAGCATCACTCACCTTCTGAAGAAAAAGTCCGCACTGTTAAAGGGTTTTTAGCATCTTGCATTCAAGGTCCAACACTGACCGCAAGATTTACCCAAAAGGGAAACCTGGAGCCTGGCAAGTGAGTACATCTGTATGGCACATTGAGGACACACAACTTTGTCAGTCCGTGGAAGTAATCTGCCTCCTCACCAGTGGCAGACAGGGTCCTGATGCCCAATTGCAAACTCCGTATGTCTTGTAGACTAACAAAAAATGGGTTATTGGGGCCTTTAAAAAAAAAAAAAGTCAAACAGTCTATGCAAAGATGCCTTCCATCTTTCTAAAAAGCAATCAAACCAAAATCGGATGATGCAGAGGTGGAAAGGGAAGGATCTGAGTACTAGGTACCAAAACAGAAATGAGAAAGGAAGTTCTCAAAATGTGGCTGTAAGGGATTGGTCCACATGTTCTCTCAAAAATATTAGTGAGGACGGGGACTAACAGGAACTTTCTAACCTCAGCAGGTAGCATAAAGAGAGCCAGAAACCTTGAAGAACACACACAGGCCTAAATGAATGTACAGGTGGAGAGTAACTCAAAGTGCAGCTGTTAATGCCTAACTGCAAAAGGTGTGTTACTCCCCCAAATGCACCCATGTGCAAATTTGAAAGCAGTAGCATTACACAGGTCAAGCTGAGGGCAGGAGCACTGTTACAGATATTACACGAACAAGTACTATTCACAGCTCAGCTTTTAGAAACCAGAAGGATTTCTGTAGTGAGAACAGAAAAGCAGGCATTTAAGACAAGCAAAATAGGAACTAACTTTTCCAAATGACATATTTACTGTCACTTTTCAGTTAAGTAAATTTTTTCTATTTATTCCTTTATTCTAAAAGGAATGGAAATGATATTACTGCAGTGGTGTATGATCCCACCTCTGGATCTCAAGCGCTTCTGCTCTCTATAATAGGGTGCTTGCTGCATATAGCAACAAGCCTTCTCTTTAGGCAGGGGGAGAGACTCTTTCCCTGTGGCTTTTACATAATTTCATGTAGTAAATCTCTATGTGTTTATAGATACAGAACATTTGCATTTATAGATCTATAAGTAGAGAGCAAGCAAGAAGCCTTTTCTTACTAGATTTCTTTTTAAAAAGTTTAAGGAATACTTTTTATCTTACTCAGGTTTTGTTTGCAACATCACATCACTTTTTTTAAAACCTACCTCCTTGCCACCCCACAGAAATTCCTGTTAACCACAACATTTGAAAGTAATTGAAAGTAAAGGGGGAAGGGGGGGGATAATGCTTATTTGGGGGGGAAGAGGGCATGTTTGGTTTTTGTAGGGTGTTTTGGTTTGGTTTTGTTTGTTTTTTTGCCTTTTTTTACAAGCAAGCATTGTCACATTTTGTCAGAGGCCTATAACATAGCTCATTTTTCTGATTTTTAGCTAACTTTCTTCTGAGGCAGGAATAACACCCATTTTCTTTAAAACCATACAAACTTGTGAGGCAATTTTCTTTTCTTTCCCTCCTTGCAATTATAATGGTAACAATAGTTAAAAAGATTTTTTTTTTTTTTTTTTTTTATTCTGTAACAGAACTACCAAAATAATTCCTTACAGTATAACATAAGCTATATGGAGTGCTTCCAGCATGCCAACTGAGGTCTTGCTGTTTTCTGGTACTGTACCAAAATCTTCTCTCTAGTCTTAATTTATGCAGTCACAAGAGTGTAGGGCAGTATTTTTGTTCAGTCCCTTGTAAAATTAACTTTGGGCTTACAATTACTTGTCATGCTTTGTAACCCTAGTAACACTATCTGCTCCATCACCATCTTTACTAAAACACATAAACAACTTACCTGTGAGCATTTAGCAATTACTCATCCAACCTTGTCAGTTATATGGGCCCAAGAGTTTTACCATAGCTCACCACTTTCCTCCCTTTATTAAAAAATAAGTTGTTCAAATAAACATACCTATTACTAAGCAATCTGATCAGCACAAGCTATTATCATGGGCTGGGTAAAACAAAAATCAAGACTGGCAAGCATAACTACTTCCTTTCTATTTTGATAACCACCAGAAACAGTTTTAGTTTCTGTTATGAAACAATGGGTATCAAACAGGTATATAAGGAAAGGCATTAAAATTATGCTGATGATGGGACTTCACTGTTATCTGAATAAATATACGGAGATAAAAAGAACAATAGAAAACTTAAAATAAAACCAGAAGCCAAGGGCGGTCTTGAAAAAAAACACAACCAAACCCTAAGGATTTCTGAGTAAGCGTGGGTTGAAGGAGGTTGGATTTGTGCAATGGGCCACATTCAAACCCCTATTTTAGACCTTGCAATGCCCCCCAAAATAGGACACACATCTCCTATACAATCCACAAGGAGAGACAAGTGCTTTCACAGGGCCTGTCTCCTCATTCACTGTACCTAAGCACTTCAGTAACGTGCCTCAGTTTCCTTTAGAGAAAGCGTACGGGGGCATGCATGGACAGCTAGAGCATGTAGCAGTTCAAAATGAAGCTACTGATTAACTGTAAATATTCTCAGAGTAAACTTGTTTTGGGTAACAAGCATGATGAGTTACTCTCCTGGTCTTAGGCATCAATGCTGCATTTCAGTTGGCATTCAGGTAGTCTCCAAGATACATCTTGTTCAATTATTTTTTCCTTGTGTTGAGAACGCACAGATCACATTTTCCTAACTAAAGAAACAAGATGCTATAAAAAGAGATCTGTTTCCATTATTGTATCCTGCTTCTAGAGAAAACCAAGCCACAAGAACCTGAAATCTACTCTACCAATTGACTCAAAATAGCAATACAATTTTAGTATAAATTACAAATATAGCTGCTGTGAAGACAGAACATTAAAAAAAAAAACAACCCAACACCCCAAACCCCTTTTCCCTTTAAAATTTTAGTTACATGTTTTAAATAGTGCAAATTCAGAATTAACAATGAAAAACTGACATTAAAACAAGAATTGAGAGCACAACATGGAAATTGCTTATGAAAATGAATGTTACATTTAAAAATACCAGCAAAGGCAAACCAATACAGTGGTCAGTTAACAGTTTAGTATGTTAACAAAATAAAAATCTATCTCCTCCCCCCAATTTGTAGACACCATTTTTTCCCCTCCCTCACATTAGTAGGTCAATACTATTTTTTAAGTAAGTTTTCTTAGAAGTTACCTATGGATGCAAAGAAAATGATGGCAAGAAAGTCACGTATTGGTTCAATACAGGACATAATCTCCTCAGTAACCATGTGACCCTGAGAAGAGATCAGAGCTCCAGCTAAGAAGCATCCCAGCTCCATTGAAACATCCAACAGCTCTGTGATCTGTCAAGGAATAACAGAGAATCTAATGTTCTCTAGCCCCAAGTGACTTTATGTAGCATTTCACAGTGACATTATAAAACCGTACATTATACTGAATGTAGGAAATTACTTTGTCTTTATGCAAGTTCAACAACAAATAGAATTCAGTGTATTTATTTCAGTGTTCTGCAGTATTGTATTTATACAAAATATACACAAAACCAGTTTCCCCTCCATGTTACCACCTAAACTACAAAAACAAAAATAAATTTCTTAATCTACATTGTAATGCTTTGTGTCACTCTTAAGGATAGCATCTGATTTCACAAAAACCAGAAAGACTGTAACAGCTTTGGAGTCAGGATTACATAATACATCAAGGCTGTGAAATAAAGCAGTCAGAACAGCACATTTTCCAACTGTCAAACAACAGGGGGGGGGGGGAAAAAAAATCAAAGCTTTTAATTTGGGAGAATAGTCTCAATTTAGCAGAAGTCCCAGGCATAAATTACATTTTATTATTGTAAATTGGACTTAAACATGCCTGCGTGCTTTACTGAATAGGGATGCATTTCAGCATGTGAAGTAAACTACTGAAATGAAGCATGGTATCTGTTTGAAAGAATTCAGACTGCTTCCTTCTTTTTTGTTATTTGAATACAGTAGTAGAAGAAAAAGATGAAACATGTATAAAGAGACTGAACTAAAAACAAAGCAACTGCTTAAGGCAATGCTTGGAACATTAAAAAAGCAAGCAGCACTTTTAGTCGGTATAAAGTATGTTTTAAAATAATTACTTTAAAATCATGCTGCTGCAGACAGTCATCTTACTGAGAAAGGGCAATGCTATTAATATTAATAGAACATTTAAAACTGAAGACTTATTTCCATATTAATTTAGATTAAGCAACAATACACCATAGTACATTTAGGGACAACATTCATCATATCTTGAACGGTGTTACACTGTAAGGTATGAAGCTAAAACTCAAGTGACTTGAAATTAATGGAGGAGAGCAAAAGATACAATGAACAAGTCTCCGAGCTATGCATAAAATGCCACCTAAAAATAAACCACAGACTTTTGTGTATTGAAGTATTAATGTCTGAATGCTCATCACATAACTCCATTTGTGCCAACAGTCTGTAATTTATTGCAAGACATTTAAGAAAATGAATTGGTTCTGTCAACTAATGCAAAGAGTTGCTGATCAGGCAAAACCAACAAAACAACATTATAATGTTACTCTCATTTTAAAACAAAAGGCATTTCAGTGCTTTTCACAATTTGAAATTGTAAGAGGGAAGAAGTAAATGTATATAAAAGGCTTTGAAAATCACCAAAAGATCAATAAAGGAAACAGTTATAAAGAGGAAACATTTAAGTTCTTCTCAATCACACATGAGTTGTTTTAAAAGTCACAACCTCTTGAGTATGATTAATATCCAATATAGCCTCTTTAAATAAAGTTGGAATTATTTTTACTATTCAGCTATAATCCTCCCACACTTAACTGTTATCAGCTATAACAGACCTTCAGATCAAAACTTTTACTGCTAATATTTTAAGTATTCCCACGTACATGGTTAGGTTACCATGTAAGAAGGGATTCAGCATCTCTTGTATTAGAATTGCGTGATACTGTGCTGTTAGGAGAATCACTATTCAAGCAAGGAGCAATTTAAGTGTGAAAGAAACATGCCTGTTCAGAAAGCATCAGACATAACTGGAGCAAACTGTATGTCCATCTGGCTTTGTTCCCACAGCATAAAAACTGAATTCCATTCCTTCACTCTATGGCAAGCTAAGTATGAGCTCAAGGGCCTCGTAGATAAAAAGGCGAATTTTGCTATTTCTTGTCTACTCTCTAGGTACTACACAACTTCAGGTCTACATAATCTATAGGTCACTGTACACACAGAGAAGTGTGAAGTGGATGAGAAGGCAAGAAAAGAACCAAAAATTACATTATTTTCTTAACACCAACCCCCCTCCTCCAGTATGTTCTTCAGATTCATATCTAGATTTATACAGAGATTCCTTTTACTGTTCCCATCCTGGTCTCTGGTTGTCCAATAATATTACCAGTAAGTGGATACATTTCCTCAACTAAAGCTGTAGCATCAGGGTTTATTATATATAATGTGTGGGTGCGTACGCACACCCACACACTGGAGAGGGTTTGTTTTACTGGCAGGAAGGCATTCTCAACAAAATTTCTTACATAAGCAAAACTTGGAAAGTATTTTGCATTTAGTATTCCCTCTCTGCTTTCATCATTTTTTATGTTTTGCCTTTACCAAACAGGGCTCTAACCATTACTAATCCCTGGGCTCTGCACTGTCCTTTTCTCAACTCCTACATTACAGAAAGCTTTTTCAGTCAAAATTAAATGAAAAGTTTTGTCAATTTACATGTTTTTCCCAGTACAGTTTAATTTTCAGTTGTTTTCAAAGGTCCCATTTTACTATAATTCAGAAAGGATTGCCTTGCTTTCACTAGGATATTGGATTTTTATGTTCAAATATTCTACCACAGTAATAAAGAAAGAAATAAACATTACTGCTATAACTTGTTCCAGTTGAATTTCAACCATTTGTTCAGCAGTTGTTTTGCCTATATTCTCTAATAATGTGTATCTTATTGCTACTTTTTAATCATCACAGAAGCTTAATGAATATGGTAAGCCAGTAAAATTAAAGAAATCCCTGATGGAAATAAATATATTAGAACTTCAGGCTTTAATAACTTAAATCTGCCCAAGAGTAAAGAGGTGAATTCTAAGCTTGCATTTTATGGAAGTAAAGCCTTAATGGAAATGGAAACAATTTTTAGTGAGCCTTGTGAAAAGCCTTGTACTTTATTAAATAATTAACTAGAATATTTGAGATTACAGTTCTTCCTTAATCTTCTCCTTTTAATTGATAGGAAAGAGTTCACAAGCAGGTTATGAGCCATTGAGAAGTACTCCAGGCAAACAAGGAACGACATTCCTGATACACTGCAGGAAAAAGTACGTGCATCTTTATATATGAAGTACTGCAATAACATAGCTATATTTTCTTTTCATCTTTTTGCTATATGAAGCAAGCTGGCAATTTCTCTTTGTTTGCTGCCATCATCCCAGGTCAACCATAAGGCAGTCAAACTGGAAGCCACTTTCCCCGCCCCCATGTGTACGCATAGTCCTATAAACATCTAAATGTAACTGCTATCTCTCTTGTCAGGTCAGGTTTTATTTTTTTCCAATTCTTTAATAACATTCAGCAACTTAGTTTTAAAACATAACAAAACTGACCACTGGTGTCCTGCAGATATCCAATACAGCAATTTATTATCAGGACAGCGTTTAAAACAATTCTCCCTGTAATGTTTCTGTACATACAGAACATGAAAAAGCAACGCTACACCAGTGAACACTCCGGCTGACTTATACTGTGGTATATATCTCAACCTAAAAGTACCAGTTTGGCCATCGATCCTAAATGGTCATATTTAAAACCATAAGCTAGATTTGCTCTTTATGTTGTGATTCAGGAGAACAGTGCCCCAGTTAAAAAAAAAAAAAAAAAAAAGGCATTATCTGCATAACTCAAAGCTTAAAACGGAGTTGCTGAAAGTGTGATCTACTGAACCTTTGGTACTGATGACAAGGTACATGATTGAAAGATGCACAACTGTGTCTCAAAGTCAGCTAGATTTTTATAGGATTGGCACTTGATGCAATCCCCCCGCCCAATCTAACTAATTGAGAGACAAAAGAGAAGGGAATTTCAGTTACTTCTGAGAGTATCTGGGAACAGAAAGAGGTATCTTAAGCTCCAAATCTTGGTAATTGATATTTGTTGCATCTCTTCTACTCTAAGTTAGTTTATCAAGCAGAGACGTATTTAAGATCCTGTTTCAGATTTAATGAGCTGCAATGCTATCCAAGTGAGCCAAGCAGTTCAGAAATGCTCAAAAGTCACTTCCATACAGGAAGTTCCTCAACTGACAGGATAATCCTTACATCAAAATTGCTTACTCATGCTGCAGTATAGGAACCTCTTCTGTCCTATCCTCCCTCTTGTTTTCCCATATAGAATTTGCCCTTACTGGTAAAGAAACGGCAGTTCTTGTTTAATTAGTCATCTAAGATTTTCAAACACAGGAAATGAGTAAAATAAATTAAGTTTAGATATAACGTGCGTTACATGTGCTAGTGTTACAGATGAACCCCAATACAGGATAAACTTAGGTGGACCCCAGAAACCCAGTCAACACTGAAGCACATAACAAGTAACTGTATGCATGAAGCAGGAATACCATATCATTCCTAGCCCCTTTGTCATGTATTGGAAAGGATGTGGCCTGCAGAATAACTCACATGTTAGATAAAGAGTTAAAATATTTTGTTTAAAAACGTCTCTCAAGTTTTCTAAATGGAGCCACAGAGTCATCTTTGGTTAAGGCCATTAAAACATGCACTCTCTTATTCCTCCCTCTACAAATTCAAAAGCTTTTTTAGAATTAACATTGGTATGAAAAATTCTGTGTTTGCAGATAATTACAGAAACTTGGTCAATATTTGGGCTTTGTTTTCCAAGGAGAAAGATCTTTGCAGGAACAGTGACAGTTTAATTGTTTTCCTACCTGGCACCCAAAAACTTTTCCAAATACATGCAACATTTTTTCAAATTAGATTGCCATCCCCCATCCTATGGTTTTATTCCTGACATAGTAGGGCATCTATACCAATTAAGATTTCTTTGTTGAGCTGTTCAACTGGACAACCAAATAATTTTGTGGGGTTTTTTTTCTTTTTTTTTTTTTTAAGTGTTTGTGCTCAAACCACAACTTATACATTCATTATAGTAATGCTACCAGTGCCAGTGAATATCAAGCATCTCAGCAGGTTTACAGAGGTTACATGCAGTATCCTTTGTACTGTTCCCTTTGATACATTATTTATCAACTTTAAAAGGAAAATTGATTTCACTTAAAATACACAAAATATTTGCTCCTTCACAAACGCTTCCCATGCTGAAAAAGCATTCTGTTTTGCAGTACAAATCCACCACACTCAAACATATTCTCCCTCAAGTTTACATAATATACATGTTTATACAAAGTCATGTAGACAGAATTGTACATTTGATGTGTGATTTGGGCACAATACACCCAATTCAATCAGATCAGTCTATGTAGGCTGTATTTTTAATGAAGGTAAGACTGCTTCTAGATATCATAATATTTTATGCAATTTTTGTGGTTTGGTTGTTGGTTTTTATTGAAATTATTCTACAACTGTTATGTCTGCTTGTTAGAAAGTAAAAAGGAGAAACTACTCTTGTTCCTTCTCTTACTACATGACATGTTTGGGATATGAATAGCTGTTTAGAGGGAGGGCATTTTTAACCTATACAATAGAAATCAACACATTGTAAAGCTATGCTTTAATTAACTTCTTTCTTGACCTTCTTCCTGAAGGAGGTCAGCTTTCTCTGTTGGACCTGTAATAATTAAGCAAACATCCCTATAAAAAAAGGCACATGCACTGGAACTTTTTTGGATAATTTTTCCCAGAAATTCTTGGGAAACTGCACATCCAGGATAATGGAGTTTCAAACCCACAACATTATCGCTGACTGTCACATTCTGTTCTCCAGCAGGATAGTTTTTCAGAGGGCTGAAATGTGAGATGGAAACAAATAGAAGGAAGATTCATAGGAGAATCAACCAAACCCAAAAGGGATATAAAAATCTATGAACCTTAAGGTATTTCTCTACTTTCTCAACTTCATCCCAAACTGTTCATCTCCCACAGAAAAAAAAAATATTTTATAATAAAAGCCATGTTGAGAATTTGCTATTGAAAAGAAACTTGTGAGCAAATGTCACAATCAGCCATTATCAGCATCTCAAAACCCATCCTATATTATTTTCAAATGCATGAAGTAGCCCAAAATTAAAACTGGAATCATAATTCTTTAACTGGCTGTATTAAAAGTTATTAGCAGAAGTTCAGCTGATTGACATTCAAATTTTATCTCTTCTTACTCATCTACGTTGTAATGCATGAATCATCTGTGCATTTGGGGTTTGTTTTAAAACATTTTAAAACCAAATAATTAACTATGGAGGTACATGGATATGCAATAACAGTAAGTGCGATGGCTTTTGTGATACTGATGCAGTAAACTACCACATGTATCAAAATGTTTTATTAAAAGATTACCATTAACATAAGGAAGATGAATGCAGTTATTCCTAGAATGAGGATTTCTTTATTCCCTTTGCTTTCTCCATGCAACTTGCGATAATACGGTCCTATGAGATAAGTCTTTATAACAAGACATACAAGAAAAACAGCAGCCAGAGAAAAGAGAATTTGGCCAATCAGTATCAGTATTCTCAGTATTTCCTTGAAAATGCTGGAAGAGAAGAACAAACAAAACATTTCTTTCAAGTGCTCTCACACCTCCCAACCAGTTCCCCTTAAGTGAAAAGATCTAATTCCACAGATGTTCAAAACCGAGTAGCTACAGTAAGTTATTTAAATACATTAGTAAACAAGATGAATACTAAATCTGCTAAGTGCCCAGCAATCTCTTTTACAGCCTAGAATTTACTTCCACGTTGATTCAAAAAGATTTCTGTTAATTGATCTTCAAGGTAAGCCGTCAGGCTCATAGTATTATTAATACTATCACATAGTCTTTGACAAAAATACGTCTTGAGGAAATAAAATAACTGAAGAAATGCAGTTATCCTTTACAGTAACAAACTTTTCACCACAAATTTTAAGTACTGAACAGGACTAAGGCAGCTACAGCAAAAAGAATATCCTCATACAACATGACCAGTACAAATAGTAAAGCGAGCTCACAGAATGGGAGTGTTTATTTTTCATGGAACTGACATTAACTGTAGCACTCTCGTATTCATACTGGTGATCTACATACTAATTGGAAGGGGGTGGGGAGAAGATACATACAATAATTTTTTTTTACCTGGAATATGTGCTCATTCCTGCTTGAATAAGTGTAGGCATGACAGCTATAAATAAACCAAGCTGCACATCCTGCATCACCAACATGCCAAGTAGTACGCTGCTGTAGTCAATGTCCCCTGCACAGCAGTAAAGCAGTCATGGAAACATTCAACAGAACCTACAAAGGCTTGCAGTGCTCAGAAATCTAGAAATGTCTTAATCAAATGGAGGCTAAGTATAGTTCTCAATGGGGTGAGGTCTTTCAAAGCATTCTGGGTTTTCTTTCTCCACTAGTAAGTAAATTAAAAAATATATATGGATAAAGACATGTTAAAATAGAAATAAAATATTCGTATGAAGTTTCTGTTAAACAATAAAAGTATAAACTTTGCTTAGCAGTTAACCACTAGTTATGCAGTTACTAGAACTCCTTTACTGAAAACATACAGTCTTTAGAATAACAAACACATGTAAGAGCCAGCATGTGCAAAATATACACTTTGAATTTAGGCATTAGAATGTGAATATTCTGGGGGGTGGGGGGGGGTGGGGGAGAACTTTAATGCAGTATGTATGAAGGAGGTTTAAGGGGCAGAAAGCAGGATGGCAAAACTTTTGAAAGGAAACATTTAGAAGTCTTTGAGAAGCTAGCAATATGGTACTTGAAGGTACTTATTTGACTAGCTGTTAGCTATGAAAGACTACCTGAGCTTGTCTTAGTTTGCTGAAGAAGGATGCGAATTATTTAAGTTCGCCTTCTGCCCTGATGACAGGCAGGTAGTAAGGGTCTAACCTGGTAGCCTCTTAAAAAGCACAAGGATTCCAGACCCTCAGTGAAGACAATTCTTAACATGGAGAGTACTGTTTGGACTACACTGCCTTTCTCCAAAGAGGACTGGCTACGTAAATAGCAGGTACACCTCATAACAGGAATATACACAACACTAGCCGGTGTTAAAGGAGGATGATCACTTGTAAACCAGACTTAACAGTGGTATTTGTTTTGTGCTGTTTCATTTTTTAACTAGTTTCTCTCATAATATTACAAAGTCAACATCTTTCAAATTTTATTGCAGACACTATAGTAATCCCTTTGTAAAATCATACTTACCTTCTTTATCACCTCGAACACTGCCTGCAAGAAATCTTGACACCAGTGGTGTGCTTGATAAAGATAAACAAGTGGAAATGAAGACACTTTGTGTTGGTCTAATTTGGAGCAAGTGTCCCCATAGTAAACCAAAGGCAATCATCAGAACCGTCATGTAGCAGGGTCCTTGCAAAGATATTTTCCATACCTTGGGAAGAAAACAACTTCTTATGATAAAGTCTGATGACACTTTTCTTACTGATAACTTACAATGATTTTTCAGTGCAAATAAGTGGTTACACATGCATGATTTGGGGCTGCAGTGCTGGGCCACTGAAGTAACAGGCAGTCATCCTATACATCCTAAAACTCTGGAGTTATTATGCCTAGCAGATATTCTATGCCAGAAGACTCATTACCAGAAATTAGGTAAATTTCCCAGAGCTCACAGACAAGTTAAGGGCCAAAGGTCCAGTATGGGTTGAAATATATTCAAGTCATCAAATAGAAGACCAGTTATTGGATGCGATTCCAGGGTGGAAAAAAAACAGGAGTGGCAAAGACTGTCATCAATACCAGCAGACCACTCCATACTAATGTGCGCACAATTCTGACATAGCAATTTACATACTACAGTTTACAAACCCTTGAATTACTGATTTTTATCTTTGACTTCAGATGGACAAGAAATAGCAGATTAAGCTGAATGCTCATAAATTTTAATACAATTCCATTCAAGCTTTTATAGTCTCGTGAACTCACAACCATCAGTTAGGAATAAATCACACTATGCAACTCTTTACATACATATAGTCTTTACATATTTTCCAGCAGTATTGTCCACTATTAAAATTCTAGCTGGTTTATGAGATAACTTTTTTTTTTAATTAAGAACAAAAGAAACTTGTACCTTTTTGCTGAATCCTGATGGCCACATCATGTAATATTCCAGATTGTGCTAACATGCTTGCCGAATCAGTTTATTAGCCAGTACAGCATGTATCATCAATTCAGTATGCAGTACTTAATAAACTAATTTTTTTAATAACAGGACTGGCAAACATCACTGGACGCTCCACAACAGCAACTGCACGTTACTGCGTGTTAAAGCAGAGATGGATTGCCCTAAATTGTGTGATATTTTTCTAGAAATCAAATTGTTTTACTAAAATCAAGAGGAATAGCAATGTTTTTTCCTGGAGACACCAAATAAATAATGCATTCTGTTCTTTCTAAAGCATTAAAGAGCAGAAGCAAATTAAATACAGAGGTATTATACAAAAATACCTTTCTTAATCTTTCAGGAGAAAATTCCAGACCAACTAGAAAGAGAGTGAAGAATACACCAAACTCTCCTAATGTCTCCACCTGTACAATAGACTTTAAAAAGAATAAAATAAAAATCAGTGCACAGCAGTCTACTTATAATACAAATTATAAGTCCACTTGCAAAACAAATAATTTCTCATTAGGTTTCCACAGGTAGTTCACTTGCTGGTCATACAACATCAGAAGTTCCCTCAGCACCTTTAGGGTTCAAACTTTTTTCCCCATCACCTGGCTGCTACTAGATAATTTGGTTGGATAGTGCGTATCACCCAAAATGCACATGTGCATTGATCGAGGTAAGCTTGCTTGCTTGTTGAAAATAAATAGGTTACATTTTATGCATATGCTATTAAAGCCCCAAGGCATGCATTCCAGAAGTTACTTCTAGCTATTTTATTGGTCTACTGGTATAATCATTCTGCTAAACTGTAGCTGCTGTTCTGCTCTCCATCCTATAGACTCTATGCATCCATCTCTCAGACCAGTACAACTACCAGCCTTTCCACTTCGGAAAGAAGGATGCAACAGCAAAAAAAGTGGTTCCCTTCCTTGTCACAACAGAAAAATGGGGCCACATCTGGCTGGTAACTGGTCACCATCAGTGTTCCTCAGGGTTCAGTTCTAGGGCCAGTTCTGTTCAATATATTTATCAATGATCTGGATGCAGAAGTTGAACACACCATTAGCAAGTTTGCTGATGATACCAAACTGGGAGGTGCTGTTGACTCTCTTGAGGCACAAGAGACCTTGCAGACGGATCTAGATAGATTGGAGCATTGGGCAATGATTAATGGGAAGAAATTTAACAAGTCCAAATGCCGGATTCCACACCTGGGATGGTGTAATGCCAGGCACAAGTACAAACTGGGAGAGGAGCTGCTGGAGGGCAGCCCTGCAGAAAGCGATCTGGGGGTGCTGGTCAACAGCAGGCTCAGTACGAGCCAGCAGCATGCCCTGGCAGCCAAGAGGGCAAACCCCATCCTGGGGGGGATCAAACACAGCGTGACCAGCCAGTCAGAAGACGGGATTATCCTGCTGTATTCAGCGTTGGTGCGGCCTCACCTCGAGTACTGTCTGCAGTTCTGGGCCCCACCGTTTAAGAAGGATGGGAAGGTCCTTGAATGCACCCAGAGGAGGGAACAAAGCTGGTGAAAGGGCTGGAAGGAATGTCCCATGAGGAGCGGCTGAGGACTGTGGGTTTGTCTAGTTCGGAGAAAAGGAGGCTGAGGGGCAACCTCACTGCTCCCTGCAGCGTCGTGAGGAGGGGACGTGGCGAGGGAGGTGCTGAGCTCTTCTCCCCGGGATCCGGCGATGGGACACGTGGGAATGGCTCAAAGCTGCGCCAGGGGAGGTTCAGACGGGACGTTAGGAGGCATTTCTTTACCGAGAGGACCGTCAAGCCCTGGAACAGGCTTCCTAGAGAGGTGGTCGATGCCCCGAGCCTGTCAGTGTTGAAGAGGTGTTTGGACAATGTCCTTAATAACATGCTATACCTTGGTCAGCCCTGAAGTGGTCAGGCAGTTGGAGTAGATGATCATTGTAGGTCCCTTCCAACTGAATAGTCTATGCTATTCTATTCTAAAAACCTAACTTTTCTATGTATTTATAGTACAGAGCAGAACAGGACAGGGTCTATCATCAATCATAGGAGAAGTGGAGGTGGAAACTATCTTCCCTGCCAGATTAGAATCTGCCTGCTGCCTCAGTTCCTCCGACATTCAACTTTTTTATGAAATACAGAAGAGACAAAAGGAGAGAGGACACACAAGACACCCAGTCAACATGAACATTATCCAGATGAATAACATTTAATCACAGCTCCACAGGAAATAGGCAGCTCACTAAGAAACTGTCCTAAAGAAACCTCTCATGTCTGTTCTGACCATATTATCTTCCTCAGTGTAAGTCTGAAAATTCATTCTTGAATCTCTTTCTAACGCCAAGCTTACAAACTTGTCTCTCAGTTTAAGTGGTCAAGCTTTCCAGACATTCTCAACCCAGAAGTTATGTACAACTCAAAGGTTATTATTTAATCTCAATTTTACAATACAGAATTTTGATAGTATTTGTAGCCTTCTCTTCCAATATGAGATTAACAAAATCCGACAATTCCTACTCAACCCTACTTACTTTTGAGCCCAACAGTCATTTTCAACAAAAGTCCACGTAAGAGCAGATGTTGCAAAGACAGTAAGTTCCAAGCAGTTGTGTGGATATCAGTGTAACAGACACAAGTAACTTAAGCAGACATTACCATGCAACCTTAATATGTGTTCTGTTTTGCCTGCTGGCTAAACAATCTGTTAATGCACACCAGACCACTAATCAAAACATGTGCAATGTCTAGCCAACCACAGCCCAGTTTCACATGAGCTAGAAATCAGGGTACACGTGATGGAGCTAAAAAGGTTCAAGAGACTTCAGGAATGTGGGCAGGGGACTGGAAAAGAACTAGAGTGACTAGGATCAATGAAAGAGCTACAGAGATGCAAAATAACTCTCTCAGAAGCCAAGCTATGCTACTCAGGGAGCTACTTGTTTTAAACACTTCCCCCACTGCCAACACTGACTTCTTCCAAGTTTCTGAATATTTGATGCCATTTAAATAACTTGGCTCTCAAACACGATGCTTTATGATGAAAGACAAAAAGAAAAGAAAAAAAACCAAACAAAACCCCCACAACACACAACCTTCAGCTTTCACTTTCAACAACTGCTTATGTCACGATTATATAGGAGGAAAGAAAAAAAAAACCCCAAACCAAAGCGATTCAAAGACATAAAATTCTAAGGTCTCATTTTGCAAAGGTCCAGGTTTGGGGATTTTTTTTTTTTTTTTTAAATATATTTGAGGTTGGCAATACCATATTCTTTTAAAACTACTTTTAAAGATTTCAACAAATTAAATCAGTCAAAAAGCAACTTGCACACTTACCTTGATACTATTTAGTCCTGATGGTCCTAAGAGTACTCCACAGATGATATACCCAAACATGGTTGGCAATCCTATTGTTGTGCATAGCCAGCCACATGGCAAAGACAACATTCCTATTGTCACAATATCCTAAATATGTAAGATTTACAAATGCATTAATATAAAGGACACGCAAATTTGTGATGAAATGAAAGACTATTATCTCTCGAAAGATAAACAACACTAAAATTAAATGTAGAATATTGCCTGTGAAAAGAAAACACAACTTCAGGAAACTAACGTGAACACTTTGTTGTAGGTGTAAGCACTGCAGTTTTGAGATGAAGCAGATGAGGTATTGACTTTAAGTAACTGATAGCTTTGGGGACTTTTGATCAATTTATTAAATATTTCAAATACACCATAGGAAGCAGACAGTTTCCTGGGCAATTGTGAGGGGAATGACACTTTGCATTAAAACAAATGGTGAAACAGATCCATTTCAGTTTCTTTATTAAAAAAAATTAAAAAAATCCCAATCCAGTTATTCTTCATGAAGCACAAATACAATAAAAAACATCTCCATGTATTTTCCAGCATCCCCTTTTTCATCACAAGACATGAACAGATAAATGCTCTCTAGTAACAATATGCAAGTGGCTTATCAGGCACAGCAGTAGCTTGCTTTAACACTGCGCCGTCCGAGAGAAGGGATGTTGCCCCAAAGGTGCAACAGGGTAAATCAAAAAAACAGGATTCATGCGGCATCACAATCAGTCTTGTGAAGACTGTGCTAGGATTATGGAACACATTGGCCAGATCACCAGTAGACAGGGAATCATGAATGCTAGGGTAACTTTAAAGGGACAAATGCTGAAACTATATTCCATCCAACTAAGCAGTACTGGCATGCAAACTAGTGGGACTAAATCTTAGCAAAACAAATGACAAGAATGTCTCTAAAATTATTACCTTTATGAAATGATGATCAGCACGAGGAATGGTTGAATCTCTGGGCTTGGTAAGGATATACTGATTGTTCTGGGAATCAATAAGCATACTAAGACCTAAATCATCCTCTACTTCTCTTTTTGAAGCATTTCTTTTGGAGTTGGCTTCATCTTCTTCCACCCTTAAAACTGCTTCAAAGTTTACACCTCTTACCTTTAAGAAAATGAAAGCAAATAACAAAAAAAAAAAAGGAGGGGGGGTGTCAATGAAGCATAGAGTACAAAGGGAAAGACTAATAGCTGTGCTTGAAGTTGCTCCAGAATTTGTTGACACTGACTAAAAATACTGCAGTTTCTTCTCAGAGAATTCTTTCAGTCTCTTTATCAAAACCTGATGTCCATAACTGAAAAGGCTATAATTTGCTCTACATTTTCAAAACAAGGGGTTTTCCAGACCTCTTTAGCCAAGCTGTCCAACCAAAAAATACAGGGATAGGATTCAAAGCTGTACAATTCCAATTCAGTATTTTCAATTGCATCTAATCTGACACTTTAAAAAAAAAAAGCTTTATTGCATTTAAAACACAAAAGGTTGGATTGAAATGTAATGTTTTGTTCCCTTGAACAAAAACAATTAGAGATTACAAAGTCATATTCAGTTCACAAAATCTGAGATAACGACTGCATTCAAAGTCAAGAAAAAGTCACTGTCCTGTAAATTTGAAGGAGTGAGGATAAGAACTGTTTCTACCTAGCTCTATCTTCAGTGCCTGTAATTACAGAGTGGAAGACACTAGGATGACTTCATTATTCACTGTATTTTAAATAATGTAGATTTTACCCATTTTCAGAAACAGTTAAGGGTGTTACTTCTTTTAGACTCCAGTAAAGAGAGTAGGCTGTTGTCATTCCAATGACTGACTACAAAACATTCAACTTTTCTGGATTGCCGTATTTTGCCAAAGCAACTCCCCAATTTAACGAAGAAATGCATTCACGTAAGCCATCTATAAAACAGCCTCCTATTTTTCTTTGCTGATTCCTCAGCACATTTCCCCAAACTGTTCAGATAAATATTGCATTTTCAGTATTTAATATTTAACCTGCAATTTTTATCCTTTTCTTCCACTCCTGTGTGTGTATAATTAAATAAGAAAACTTTTATCGTGGGAATGACTTCCTCCCCTGGTTTTGTACATCACACAATATGATGGGCCTCTAAAGAACTGGAAGTTCTGAAGAAGAATCAGACAGAGGGGAAAAAAAGCAATTTGAAACAAATTATGAAGTTTGCAGAATTATTTAGAAGCGTAAAATAGCTGCTTCAAACATCAGTATTCTTAGCTGTTGGAGTGAGAAGCTGATGACCATTTTCTTTTTATGCATTATGAAAGTTGTCTTTTCACCCTTTTTTGCCCAAAAGCTGTCTTTTTATATCTATTTTGCCTTTACTTCCCTAAGCTCCCCACTTACCAGGCTATTTTGCATTCCAGAATGAGGTGTCCATTGCCAAGTCTAAAAGACCAAACCATGTTTTCAGCTGACGGGAGAAAGCAGTAGTTGCATGCCATGTAGATGCAAACTATTCTCACAGTATTGGAGCAAAGAAAGACTTCCCTACAGTCAGCAAACATGAAGAACTGTTTCTAATCAGAATACACAATAAGTGCCCAATCCTACTGTTTTTTCTGTCATCTTTGCTCTTGACTGCCTCTCCCACACCCTTGTTGCTACTCCAGGGATACTAAAAGAGAGCTTAGAGCTTACTGTTAAACATTGGCTCTGCAATATAAAACATACTTTACACTGACTTTCACATTGGAATTATTTCACTGTTCACTGCAGTGTCTCCATCTTGCAGATGACAATTACTTTGCCTAAAAAACAATATGCTGATAAGCCAACATCTGTTCTATTATCTTCTTGGGAATTTAATGTTACAACATCAGCGATAGTGTTCACTAAGCAAAATTATCTTACAAAATACATCAGCAGTGAAGCATCTACTTTGAAGCTCTGGAATTCCGAATTCATAGAGTTTGGTTTATGTTCCTTTGTACTTGGTAGCTTGTGTGTCTGGAATCTAACCAAACTTCTCTGCATCAAAACTAAAAATGTATCAAAGATCATATAAAAGCAATGCAACTGGATAAATACATTCCTCATCTAGTAGAGTTCACAGTCTAGGTCAGAAACAATATTAGGAAAAGCAGTAAGATGCTTATAAGATTAAGACAACTACGAAAAACAATCTGGTTTTTTCTGTGTAATATATGTTAAAAAATCTTACATTGTGTGGATATTATGGTGTATTTTTACTTTTACAAAAGAAAAGGGAACTGATAAGACAGACTATGCTAGAAGAGTGAGAGTAGATGGCACAGGTTCAGATGAGCTTTTAAATACTAATAAATTTGAGAACATAACGAGAGAAAATAGTTATTTTCAGGATTTTATTTCCTAAAACACCAATTCCTGAAAGCAGGTTGTACGTAACAGAATATGGTATGCTAATACTCTTGTCTTGCATTATTAAGTGGGTTGGGTCAGTTTTTGGGGTTTTTTGGTTTTTTTCCATTTTTACCTACTACACTTCTCTATTTGATTATATTTTAATAGAAGCTTTTGTATCTTTATCAGATTACTGATGATTCTATTAGAGCTTCTTTGTTCTAACGTTCCAGTGTTCTAGCCTAAGAGAAAAAACACTAGATATTCTTTGCAAAGATGGAGATGTAAACAGTCCTCCAGGTTGCATTTCATGATTCCTTTTCTTTCATGAATAGAGATACAAGCAGAAAACCAACGAGATACACTGGAGAAAAAGGATGCGGTAGCATTTTGCCAATTAACAGGTGTAGCAGAAGAAACCTCATTCCTGGTCCCTTCAAACGTGCCGTCATACCCCAGCAGAACAGAAGAGGGCACTCCAGCTAGCTTGTCCCTTCCCCGCTCTTGGTCCTGCTAGGTCGGATTCCCACTGGATACAATTGCTGCGGTCTAGCGTATACAAAATAAAAAGCTGCTTGCACTTTTTCTCAATACGACTACAAAAAAATGGCCTGGCGCTCTACTGCAGAGCAACTGTTTTTCCTCCTTAGCAGAATTCAAGAGCTATGCTCGCCTCAGATCAACAAAAACCTTTCAAGAGCAAAAGCCAAATAAAATGGCAACCCACGTTCACACAAACAGGACCAATTTAGAGAGTCAGTCTCTGAGGACAGCACAATGGGACGCTGGAATAAACTGACTTACTCCCAGCTCCAAATACACACAGCCTTACCCGAGGGATACTGTCCATCATGCAACATAGAAACAACGAACAATGCAAACAGGCCAGCTATGAAAAGCAGAGGAACTCAGAAGTGGAAGAAAGCAACACCACAAACAGATTTCAGGTCCTTACCTTGGACAACATATCTTTTCCCAGACTGTGAAAACTAACTGCAAGGATTCTTGTTCTCCCATAACTTTCTCAACAAAATGAAAGAGAAAAAAGCGGAGACTACGCTTAACATGGTAACTCCGTATCCTGCAAGGTCTAAATATCAGTTCCCACCACCACCACTGAGATGTCATAACTCTCATGGGCTGTATCAGTGAGATGGACTACACTTGTCACTGTCAAAGTGGCAGCTGCGGGGGGGGCTTTCAGATCAAAACCACAAAAATCACTAGCAAAAAGGAATAATTATTCCTGTTTGCTCACTCCTAACAAGCAATCATTCTACCACTATTTGAAAGGGAAGCAAAAACAAATGTAGAGCCAAAAGTTTTTGTTTTTTTTTTTTTTTTAAATAGTCACTAAAATCCTAACAACTATTTAACACAAGAGAAACACGCCTACAGTGCAAATATCAACTATAAAAATAAATGCACACCAATTAAAAGACTGAGTCTAAAACATCACTTACAGATTTGTTGTCATCAAAGGCATGCTCTTCTATTTCCTCTTCCAATCTATCAGCTGCTTTCCTGACATCTTCTAGAATTTCATCAAGCATTGACAGGCTTTTGTTTTGATGCTGCATGTTCTTAAGGGCTTCAACCTGGTGTTTTTCTGCTGCTAAGAGTTCCACATATTCCATTTCTTCCTGTTGAATTTTACAACACACAGTTAAAGTGCTGGCCAGGCCTTCGAGCAGAAAAACATTTGACATAAATGTGTGCTTCTTTTGACACAAAACATCTTACGAGTGCAATTGCAAAAGCAGTATAGACTTCATAATGGTATCTGAAGATTGCTTTCTCTTGTGCCAGTTTTCATTGGGGAAAGTGGGCAAGAAATAAACAAAATATCCATCAATAGCCTTTTCTAATCCATTAAACAGTAGAGCTGCCCCAAGGTTATAATCCAGAAAATACAAGGAACTACTTTGAGGAACTCTAGGAAACATTTCAGAGCCAAGTAAAGTTTAGAGCTCAGTGCTTTAGCAGAGAAGCATAATAACCTTGAAAGCATAGCTTTACTAGCTACAGCAAACAAACAAATTGGAAGGAAAACACAATAAATCTTAATTTTATAAGCCATTTTATAAACATGGGAAGAGGTCTGTTTATGGCTTTCAGAAATTACAATAACTGTCGAGACAACTACAAAAAAATAAAAGCAGTTGGGAGAGAGTACAGATGAGCAGCCCAACACTCTAGCTGAGGTTCCTGTTTATGTCTCCCAAGAAGCATTTTTCCTATCAGAAGCAAAATACTTGACTTTGTCCATCTTTTCAGTTTGGGCCTCTTACAAACTTGCACTAATGACTTCTGAAATCCATTTCTAGGCTTCAGAAGTAAGAAAAGAAAAAATGCTGATGTGGTTTGATATGGCGTAAAAATAATTTCAGTAGCTTCCCTGATAAAGCTATGATTCGTTTCTCTTTGGATGTTTCAGGCTCAAAAAGAGAACTAAAAAGTTTTATTTACTACTGATCTAGACTGGAATTAACACTGCGCCTTCTACATGGTTACCAAGACAATGATCAAACATAATACTTTGTGTATGGACAGAGTGTAATTTGAGTTTTTTTGGAAAAAAGATGCTTCACTTTACATGCGTACATTCTTTAAAAGATGCACTGGTTGAGAGAGAGAACAACTATGAATGAGGAAACACACACGATGGCAGGCTTCTTCCTTTTAGTTAGATTCAGGATCCTGAGAATATTTAGAAGAGAGAGACCTTACATCTGTTCTTTAAAAGAGCCAATATTATTACCAAGGGTAAAAACAGACTGGGCAAAAAATACAGACAATCTCTAGGTCAGACTGAATTCCCAGAAAACACAAGTTTCTGTCTCCATTCTAGATGCCCTGCCATACCCAGTTAGAAGTCAGACAGAACATAGGTCTCCCTTAGGTTGTGTGCTTCATTTGCCTACCCCACACAGGTATCTTGGACAACCTGGGCATCTAAAATAGTCCTGAACTCCTATGTTTAAATAACTGGAGTGTCCCCTCCTCCACACGTTTGCAGGTAGACATTTTTTTCCCCTTGAACCCTGCAAGAACGTGCATATAATTTAATCAGTTCCTTGATGCCAAGACAAAAGTATGTTCAGTACAGCCTATAACCATAGCTTAACCCTTTTAAAATCCTGACAGTCAGATGAATACCTCTGGTTGTGATGAAACCACAGAATTGCTGTCTGTTGGTGTTTAGAATTACCATAGTTACACTGGCATGATGAAAATTACCCAGTTCCCAAAATAACTGGGGTTGGGAAAAATGTAACTATTAATCTGTTTGGCCGAATGTCAACTGCTTTAGTTCTTATGCAACACATAAGCAAGAGACACAGTCACTCTCACACAGCCTCAAGGAAAAACATTTCCTATCGGTTGTTCTCTAGCAAACATTGCTTGAAAGATGTAAAAAAACAGCCCCTGTATGAATTGCAGATTATATCCTCATTCAGCAACAACTTAGAACATGAGAAGGAATTGGTAAGGGTTAGATTCCTTCCCCTCGAAAATGGAACAGGTTTTGGGTGGAGGGAGCCGATCAGTCCTTTCTGTCAGCTGAGACAAACAAGCTGAACAGAGCTAGAGGTAAACTGCACAAAAATAAATAATGCTCTAATTTGCAAGAAGTTAACTTTCGCTGAATAGCAAGGTAGAAGAGCTTTGAAAAATCTGAATTTAACTGTAAGTTCCTTTAATTAATGAAGACAAAGGGTTTGGTAGCCTATTAAAGTGGCATCTCTGTTTTCACCTACAGACCAGTGTCATGGCAGTAGAGTAGGACAATCACAGAGAATGGTGTCCATGAAAAGGACAAGCTATCTCGAACAGCCTGCTACATGTTAAGCAGAAGTGCATCACAGTACAAACACTGTTCTGCAACTCAGGCTGGGATCGGAGACATCTGATCACAAGGTACATAACAAACAATCTTTTAAGCAAGGTAATACAAATAAGGACTGTGCACTAAACAGGAAATTGGAACACCTAGAAACACATCAGCAAAATGAAGTATGATGAAGTAAGACTTTGGGGCGATCCTGGTTAAGAACACAGTGGTGTTGTTGCTCTCTACTGTTTAATCAGGAATGAAAAAAGCACATTCCGAAGAGGCTGCATCTTTGCACTACTTGTGAGGGTTTTTTTCCCATTGATGTCTGAGTAGTAGGCACCCAAAAAATCCGAAGGTGATAAAAAGTAGGTAAGATTTTGTTGCTTTTTCCTGAACCTCCATACAGGTTCCTGGAGCAAAGGAAGGCAGAAGCTGTCTTCAGCGCTTCTTCCTTCCTCCCACCCAGCCCATGAATGACTCTGCTATACCTTTTTCCCAGCAGCAGAACCAGCAAGAAATGCATCGGACATGCATACATATCCCAACACTAAAGAATTCCAAATACTTCAATTCAACGGAAAAAAAATTAAGGGAAAAGTCCAGCACCCTCTACAACCATTTGTATTTTCTGTTCAATCACTGTTTAAAAAATGGAAAGGATGTCTTATCAGTACACCAACAAAGTAATCATTACATTAAAATGAAACTGGAACAAAATTGGACCTAATGTGTGTCTTCTGAAGTAAGAACAAGTCCAAAAAAAATGTATCCCGTGTAATTTTCATCTTTTTGGCCTGCATTCCCCCACCATCCTTTGCTTCAGTTTATGTAACAATTGTAAGGTTGTTTGTTGTTAGAACAACAAATATTCTCTTTAAATAATCATGTGCATGACATAAGAAGGAAGGGTGTAAAAGATTGCTCATTCAAGTGTGTATCTTGATATGATAATACAAAAAAAGCCTACACAACCCACCTCTGCAGAAGTAAAGTTTTGACAGGACACACATCTAAAACACATCATTACACACACAGGCCTCCTTTTACGAGAAAAATGAGGAAGCACCATTCTCAAGTTCAAGGATAGATTACTTCAGTATTTTACAGTAACATTGCCAAGAATTAGGTAAATAAGAAAGAAGATTCTGGACAGCTTCGCTGCTGCTATTTTAAGAGCTCTGAGGAAAAAAAAGGTGGAAAATCAAGTCATTTTCATGACAATTGCTACCATTTCTATGCACCAGAAGCTGGCTCTGCCATTAAGCACCAATATCAAAGTCACATTGAGCACTTCACTGGAACACACCTAGATCCAAGCTCCTCCCTAACCAAATCTGTCATAATTCAGTCTTTGTTTTCACTGCACAGACCACTCCAGCCTCCCAAGTCTGCATCCTAACTTCTACTTCCACCAGTCTTTCTTGCCACAATTCACTGCACACCTTTCTTGCACACCATCTCTTGTAACCTTCACCTGTTAAGATCTGCACATCTCTTACACAAATGCCCTTTAGAGATTCTCCCAGCTCAGATGCTATATCCCAATTACGTTTTTCCCCTTCTCTTGCTCCCTTGTGCAAGGGCAGCCTCTTCTTTTAGGAGACAGAAAACAAAGAAAAGTCTTAATATATTCCTCCAGTGGTTGAGGGGTAGAGTGAGGAAAAGAGCACTTTAAATACCAAATCAATTAAACGACACTTTCTCTCAAGGGGAGACTTTCAGTACACAGTCTGAGCACCACCAAATCCAGTAGACAGTAGCAGATTGTGCATACCCCAACATGACTGCATTGACATGGGAACTCAGATTTTTCATGAAGTACTTGTGCTCAACTGTTACTCATCTATGCTTTTCTTGGTAAAGTTACCTCAGCTGGCTCTTTCTTGGAAGCACTGTTTTTCAAACCTCCACTTCCCAGGCTAGGAGTGCTACCCTAAGATTAAAAACCCAGTAGTATTTTGCATGTCGATTTTACCCACATCTATACGAATACAGAAATAAAAGGCAAGAAGTCATTCTGTTTAAATTGTAGATTTTGGTTGAGCAATTCTCATTTAAAGTGGAAAAAACAGCTAGTGTTTTGCCAATTTATGGCATTATTTCCACTCTGATAATCCCACTGGCTTATCTACTGCAACTGTGCTGTGTGCACTGACTCACTTCTTGTACTCCCTTCCCTTTAACATAATATTTGCCATAGGTCTTATGATTATGCTTAGCTTTGTTTTGAAATAAGAACTATTCACTACTAGTAAGTTTTAAACTCTACATCAGAATTACTTCTAATTTTACTTATGAGAACAAATACTTAATTCAAAAACCATTTTAAACAGCAAAACACTGCAAGTTTCATGTAGATCCACTTTTTAATAAAAACAGACTTAGACCGCAGAATAATAAAATTAAAATAACAAGTAGAATATTAATACTCTAGTAATAAACATGGGGGAACTAACCTTAATTGCAGCTTCTCTCAAGGCTTCCAGTCTCTGTCTGCTGCTTTCTTTCATATTTACAACATCTTTGTAATCACCCTGTAGAGCTCTCTGGAGGCCATGGATTGCTTGAAAGACCGAGTTTTCACTTTCATTTAGCTCCTTTTGGAAAATTTCAAAGGTATGCACCTGAAAAAGTTTCTCTTCGTCTGACAGTCCTGCATCCTTCTCAACTGCTCTTATAGCATTTTTTAATTTGTTGAGAACAACGTTCTTTTGGCGAAGAAGACCAGATAGTTTTCTGCAGCTCTCCAACACCCACTGCTTTCTCTGAGTGATAACAGCTCCTTTCCCACGGTGCAGCTTTATTGCATGCTTTACTACATCTTCATGTTCTGCAGGATTTGCTAACTGACCACAAGGCAGTGAAACCAACGTCCATAGGAAAATAAATCCAGTCACCTTCATTCTTCACTTTTTACTGCTGTTGGAAGAAACTGATAATCCACAAGTGCTCAAAGCTTTCTGCTACATGGTTTCTGCATCTCCAGTTCGTATACCATGCTGCAAGATAGTACCAATCAGTGATCAAATACGATAATGTTGGGCCATTAGGTCAAACGAACATAGAAAACAAACCTAAGAATGCATCGTACACTATGATCTTTAACGGCATGCATACAGTCTCCTTCAGTCAACAGTTATCAAAACCAAGAAACAGCCCAAGGTTATTGATAGATTTTTGTTTTCCCCTTGACTATTTTCTAGGTATCATCTTGTTTTAAAAACACTGAATGGAAAGCTTAGTCATTTCACATGGTAGTCACCTGCATTCTTACATGAGAGAAAAGCCATTAAAAATATTAAGCCACGATGCCATAGGCTGTACTTCAACCTAGCACCAGAACTCCTTATTCTTATCAGTAAACCCCTTGTATTCTTTCAAACCTATCCTGAAAAATTGTATCATAATCATTTGTTATTTATACAGCCTCAGAAGCATTAACACACTCAAGTATACAAAATGTAGTGAAAAAAAGCTTAACTGAAACAGATTACATTATAAATCATACTTGTGAAAGAAACACTTCTACAGTAAAGAAATAACAGCAATACTTCCTAGACTTCTCCGCACTACTAGTTTGGATCAAAGACCTTCACCTGAAAGGCTGCATGGCCTTGAGGCATTTTACTTCAAAGCTAATTATTGATCCTCATGATTTTAAAATAGTTATAAGAACACTAAAAGTAAAATCAATTCATTCATAAGTTCATTTCCCAGAAGCTACTTGAAGATCTACATTTAAACTGCTGTATTTGCTTTTACCACCAAGGAGGATAGAATTTAGAAACTAAGAACAAATTTACTTCCCTCAGACCCTACAGGAAAACACTGGCATTATTGTAAAATAACAAAGTTACATTTTCTTAGAAAAAAACCCAGACAAACACAAAAACCCACCAAAACCCCCCACATACCACAAAGCTATACATAACGATGTATAAATGCCTGTACAAAACATACATTTACCACTGAAGCATGGCATTCTAAAAATGCACAACACACACTAGATGTTAGCAGATCATCAGTAGAGCAGGTATTTCCCTAAAACTTTAGCTGCAATCTTGATCCCTGGGCCAACAGCCTTAATGAGGAACCAACATACAGACATAGTCATCTGGAAGCAGTCTGCCTAAGAGAGAATCTTCTTTCCCTATAATGCAGTAGCAGTCACAATCACAAGTATCCAAGCCAGCCATCGTCAATATATAGAATGGGAAGGGACGATGGTAAGCATGGCCATGCACTACCTTTCTTTTTAAAATGCCCTCCCATCTCTGTTTCAGAGAGAACCGAGGAAGCCTGTCTGGGTGTGTTTATTTCTTTTCAATGCATGAAATACAAGCCAAAGTATTTACAAAGTATTTAGCTATTGATAGTTGACTATGGGGTAGCGTTTAACAACATGAAGAGCTAAAACATTTAGAATTAAGAACTGACAGTGTAATTAAGGTAGCAAAAGCATATCTACCTCACTTTAATTTCAGTAAAACAATAAAGTAGAAATAATTCAGAACTTTCGATAAAGCCATGGGGTTCACTATTTTTAAGAGATTAGGAAAAAAATAACAATCCCCACCACCTGGCAAAATTCTAGAGGAATTATTTCTTCATGTATACAAAGTAATACTCTTCCTGTTTAACATGTTTGGGGAAAGAGATTTTGCTGAATATATTACAACCTATTCCTCCAAGAAAGAGAGAGGAGAAAACGCCTAGTGTATATTCAAGCCTCCATTTGCAGGGAGGTGAGTAAAAGACTCTACTGCACGTCTTAAGTGTTATGTCCAACCCCATAACTAAATTCGGAGCAGAGATTTACACTAGTGAGTTTGCCCATTGTTGCACTGTGTAAACTTACCACCGTGGTTCAGACACAGTACAGTTTTTGTTTCAGTAACAGTGTTTTTTACTTAGCTAGCAAAAACTATTTGGAAGAGTGGCACCCATGCTCAAAAGCTCTTAAGGGAATAATGACCTCACATATAAAAAATATGCGATATGCTTCACAGTGCAAATAAAGAGGGGGAGGGGGGACCAAAACCAACAAATCACTCCTCTCCATGCACCAGTAAGCATGAAATTAGAGGGAACTCCCGTCGTTTGGAGTGCTTTTTAAGCAGAGTTTGTTTCCAGATGGATTCCAGCTCGTCTTCCCCATTTTTCCTTCCCGAACACCCTACCGTCGCACCGGCTTTCATCAAGCTGGTACTAGACCCTGCCTCCAACGCAAGCTCTCCTCCGAAAGGCTTGCGGGTTCCTTCCACACCTACCAGTTTGCCACCGCCGCCCACCGCTTTTCTCAACCCCAGCTCCTCCTCAGCACCCCGCAAGGGGCAGCCGAGGCGGGGGCGGCTCTCGCCCCGCCACGCACCCACCTGGGAGCGATGGCAGCCGGAGGGCAGCTCCCCGCACCGCCGCCGCCTCCTCCTCCTCCTCTCTTCGCGGGCCGGCTTCCGAGCGGAGCCTGCCGGTACCTCTCCCTGGGGAAGGCCGGAGGAAGGAAGGCCGGGGAGGAGAAGGGGAAGAACAGAGAATTATCGGAACGCCGGGACCACCAGCCCCTTTCCCGCCCCCTCATGGCGGCGCAGGGAGGGAGGGGGCCGCCTCACAGCCCGCCGGCAGCGGCACCCAACTTTCCGGGACCAAACCCACCGCCGCTTCCTCACAGCCCCCAACCGCCCCTCCTCGTCCACCGGCAACCACCTACCGCCCACCTCGGCGCGGCGGCTGGCCCGGCCGCTGAGGGGGAGCAGAGGGGGAGAACCGCCGGCCCCGGGGCAACGCTTCCTCCCTCCGCCCCGCTCACCTGAGGGAGGGAGGGAGGGAGGGAGGCGGCGGGAACGCGGGGGTAAGGAGACGATGGCCGCTGACGGAAGGCACCGAGGCAACCCGGTCCTTACCAGCAGCCGCCCTCCCTCACCCTGCGCCCGGTTACCGGTCCGGCACCTTTAAGCGCAGAGTCGGACGGGAGCTGTAGTCCGATCGCCTCCTCCCGGCGGGTAACAGCGGATTCTCCCCCTCACACACACACACTCTCTCCTTCGCTCCCTCCCCGTTCCGGCCGTTCTGCGCGGTGCACGCCGGGAGGCGTAGTCACCGCTCCGGCGTAGCCCGAGCCCACCCGGCGTCGCTTCTCCCCAGGGAGGGCGGAGGGGCAGGGAAGAGAAGGAGGAGGGGGAGGAGGGGGGTGGGCGGCAGCGGGGGGCTCCGGCCCCGCCCCTCGATCCGCCGCTCCCGCCTGGTCCCTCAAGCGCGGCCGGTGAGGGGGGCCGGTGGGCGCCTGCGCGAGAGGCGGTGCCGGGCGGTGAAGTTGGGCAAAGCGCCGGTGATAAAATGGTAGGTTGTGGGAGCAAGGGGAGGGGGAAGGGAGGGAGAGAAATTGGGGAAGGGGGGGCACGACACCCTCAAACAACCCCCGGACCAGCGAGCTGAGCGTCCCGTCCCCCCCTCACACACACACCCCCCCACAGGGGTTTTCCCGCCGCTTCTCTCCCTCAGCGCCCGGTCCCGCTCCTCTCCTCAGGGCGGCGGGGGTGGGGGGGGGGGGCGGGAACGGACGACAAACCCAGGGGAGAAGGGACACACACCCGGTGCGGTAGTCGTCGCCCTCCCCGGCCGGGAACGGGGAAGGTCACCGGGGGGCGGGCGGGGGGGGAGGAGAGGGGGGAAGGGGGGGCCCGCCCGCCGCGGGTATTTCGAGCGCCGGGCAGCCGTCGCGGCGCGTACCTTTCCCTTTTTTGGGCTTCGGGCTTGCGGGGCAGGTTGCCGGAGCCCCGTGTCTTGTGTCCCCCCCCCCATCTGCCGCTCCGCCTTTCGGCAGCGGGAAGGGCCCTCCCGCCGGCCGCCCTCCTCTTCCTCACCGTCCCGGTACGCGGCAGGTGCGGCGGGCGGGCCGCGGTGGGAGCGGTGCGGTACGAGTTGCCGTGCCGGGGGTGTGAGGGGAAGGGTGGGTAGGGTTGGGGGGGTGAGGAGGCAGACGGCCGGGACCGGCTCCGGTGGGACGGGTCAGGGGTCGTAGGGTCCGTGTTTCACCTTCAGCGCTTCCTTGGGCTTTGCCGGGGGGGGTGTAATTAACGTTCCGAGAGGGATTCTAAAAGGTGACTTAATTACGTCTTGATGTGAAGTACGCCGGCGTGTTTGGGTTCCGTTAGTGAGAAGGTGTGCTTAGAAAAACGACTGCCAGACCTTCCCCCCCTGCCCCGTGGAGAGCGGACAGGTCCCACTGCTGTAGGGGTGAAGAGTAGAAGCCATACTGCGTGGCAGAGGGATAGCTTGGGTAGTCGAATGCGTTTCTTATCTCTGATTTCTTCAAATAACCTGGTGTTTCATTCTGAACCTAGAAAACACGCCCGGCGTAAGTAGACTTATAAGAGGACATGGGTTTTACTTGGGAATTGTTGTCGGAGGCCTCTGTTTCGAAGTGGTCGTCGCTAAGTTGGTTGCTGAAGAGGAGTTCTCTGTAACTGAGGAAGATCTTAGTGCAGAGAGACCCTTACAGTTAGACCTTAATGGAAAATGGGGGGGGGGGGGAGGTTGCACAGGGCTTGCAGTCAAAGGATTATTGAGTATTTTCTTAACAAAATACGTTGTACTTATTTTTGTAGCTCTTTTCCCACTTTACGCATTTCTTCATGTGTGAAAAGAAACTTTACCCGTTTCTTCCTGTATAAAATTGAAAAAAAATCTTGTAGGAAAGACCAAAGTCCTTATCTTGTTTACACGATGTGTTTTTTGCCTCAGGACCATCTGTAGTCACGATGTCACCATCCATATGTGTACAAGAGATAACAAGCAAGCTGAGAGATGGTCCTATGTTTACTGCTTACTGATCACTGAATCAGGATTTAGTTTTTCCCCAAGTGAGACCAGTGAATTTGCCATTATACCTCATGATTTAAGCAGTAGTGAGGAACTTAGACAAATTCCTCAGCTTAATTGTTGGCCCAGAACATGTGTTAAGTATGGCTTAACAAAATTGGAAAGTATCGGAATATAATAAAAACCAGAGTTTGATTTAAGCCATCTCCTTCTTCTTCCAATTTCATGTAAAGAATAATGTTGAACTATGTTAATAGCAAATTTGATCCCTATAAAATCCCTGTTCCCACCTCTTGGGTGTTCCAGAGGTTTAGGGATGTTGTGTCGATAGGGGTTGCTGTAATTAGTTGCCATAAAGAGAAACATCTTATTGGTTCCTGTATACCACTATAATAGGCCGTTTTGTTGTTTAATGTATGAATAGTAGAAACATAATTTTCAGAGCTAATTAAAGTTTTAGATCACATTTACAGCAACTTTATAGTCTCATCGTAACATTCAGCAAATCTCTGACATGTCTGCTTTATCTATTTTCTTTTTGTCTTGTGTGTTCTGTTGGCAATGGTTTCTAACATAAAAATGTGATAAATGCTTCTGCCTTTTTCAGCTGATCACTTAAAATGATTAAACTTTGCATTGTTCGTTGTTGCTAGGAAAATATTAGGAAAACCGTTGAGCGGGTTTTTTCCATGTATGAAGGACTTACACAGAATCTGAGAATCTAGAAGTTGTGCCTTTGCAATTTCTTGTTTGTATAACCGTTAGGCATATTTTCAGAAGATAACCATATTGTTGTATGACGAAACTTGTGTTTACTGCTGTTACAGAACAGAAAAACTTCTGCATATGTGAGCAATAAAGCAGAAATACAAATTTATTACTGCCAGAATATGTGCTGCTAAAAATGTGTATATAGATGCTGTCATTTCAATTTTCAGAAGAAAATGCTGTCTTTTTAACTGCAGAAGAACAAGGCTTTGTCTTCCTGTAATTCTGAAGTGAAAGTTGTCATCAACAAGAAAACTAAAAGCTTTTAAAGATAGGCATTAGTAGTAGAATGCTGAAACAAACTTCTGGATTAGCTTCATTGGCTTTCCTGCTTCTTTTGCATCCCAAAGCATAAGCTTAAATCGTCTCAGAAGGACAAGGTCCGCCAGTTTATGGCATTTACCCAGGCTGGTGAAAGGACTGCTATATACTGCTTAATGCAGAATGAATGGAAACTAGAAGTGGCAACAGACAACTACTTCCAGAATCCAGACTTGTACTACAAAGAATCCATGAAAAATTCAGTAGACAGGAAGAAATTAGAACAACTGTATAATCGATACAAAGGTAAGGCTTGGGTTTTTTTCTTTTTGTTGTGGGTTTTGGTTTTTTTCTAATTACTTTGTTTGGGTGGTACTTCTGCTTTTCTCTCTGCCATTCTTAAGGACTTCTAAGGAAAGATTGCTAGCTTCTGCTTCTCACTCTGTGTTTGCAGTAGCGAGATAAGAATGAGAAAGGTTTTAAATGCTCTTAATGTCCAGTACACAACTTCTGTAGTTATTCCTGTAGCATTTAAAGTAAATTCACAGGAGGAAATTAAACCTGTCATGAGGAAATAGTGTCAGCTACACATGGTGGAAAGAAGAGTAAAGCTTATTATGCAACTTATTTGATTTATTGCCAGTGGCTGCTACTAAATATACATATAGTGCACTTCGTGTGGCAAAATAATACATATGATTCTTATACTAATTTTGGGGGGAGTTTTGTTCAAAGATAGTAGTATATCTATACATTAAAATCAAAAATGTTTCAGATAACATTACAGCTAGGAGTCTGACAAAACAGTCGAATAAGAAAACCAAAAAAACAGTCATAGAAACTCCATCCTTATTTTACTTTTTTTGTGCTGCATATTACAGCAAAAGTGATGTGCCTGTTCAGAGAGGCTTGGAGGGAAAACCACAGGGAGGTGGATTAAAGGCGGAGTTGTTTCTTCTCCATTTTTTATTTTACAGCATTGTTGGAAAGAACAGAAAAAATAAAAGGAAAAGATAGTCATGTATGTATGATAGATAAGAATGTACATGATCCAGGTAATAGTGCTTTCTGAAATGTGGCCATCCGACATGAGGGTGTGCATTGTTCATTACGTGTTAGAGCAGATCGGGCTGGAATCATTACCAGCCCCTGCTGAGATCCACACATCTCACGTTTTAAAAAGCACTCTTAACAATTACTCAACTATCATTTTAGGTACTTTTCTAATTGCAGTATATGGCATGCTTTGTATACGCTTTATCCTGTTCTTATGATATTGTTTTCACCTTTTTTTTGTTACTGTTTACATAATGTGTTCTATTTTAAGTGTAGACATTCTTTAACATTTCATTATTATGCAGTAATGAATTGTGTAGGGACAAAGAACCAGCAACACTATAGCATTTCCTTTGCGGGGAAAAAAACCAAAAAAACCCCACCAAAACCTAGAGAACCACTTTTCTGATTTGTTTTTTATCTATATGTAAGTATATATATAAAACATATATATGCATATCAAAGTCTTTTGCTTGTTCCTTGCATGTCAGTCTTGGAGATTGCTGGGTCAAAAATATATGCAAATTTGTAAATGGTACTAAGAATATCTAAAATAAGCAAACAAACAAAAAAAACCCAAACCCCACAAATGTTGTTTATTATTCATAGTTTTCTAGCAGTGGCAAACTGCACCACTTGGCTTTCATGAAAGACAGTCTAGTCAGTTTTATGTCCGTGTTTTGGGTAGCAGCACACCTTTGCAGTTCTAGCACTTTAACACTTTCAGTAAAATTGTAAACTTGAACAAAACCTTCACAAGATTTGAGAGAAAACAATAAAAGTTTTGGTTAAACACCTTTCCTTTTTTCATATGTAGCTTAAACCTGAGTCATTGGCCTCACAACAACAAGGAATTCTTTTGTCCTACACGGCCTATAGAATGCTACATACATTGCACTATATTTGAAATCTGAGAGCAGAGGTCTTTCATTTTCTGTGTTGTCTTTCTGTTAGTTTTCTTATCTGTTTATCCAGCAACTCTGTCAAAACAACAATTTCATTCTTGTTCCTAGTTACCTGGATGATGTGAAACATGATAAGGATGAAGCAGTCCTTGTTGAAATCCATCAGAATTTTTCCACCGATTTCAACACTAGTGCACTTTTTGCCTTCAGTTCTTCAATTACTCCCTAAATATACAAGAAATGCATTTTACATGTCTTAGAACTAGATCTGGCATATAATAGAATAGATATGTTTACTTGTTATTCCTGCTCAAAGGTCCCTGAATTATACCACAGATGTAATTCTTTGTTTAATGGGTATAAGTTTTTGTTTGCTAAATTAACTTCCTCTCTGCATTTTAGCATTTCTTCCACCATAGTATTGGCTGGAAAAGTGGAAGAGATCTTAGCTTAACACCCCAAAAAAATAAAAAAAAAGAAAGTTTTCTTTAGACTTGATTTTTTTTATCATCTCATTGGATAAGGACTTATTAGCACAGTTGAAAAACTTACCAGTTTGAGGAGTTAAATTTACTCAAGGGATACTTTTCTGATACTGAAATGTATCAAAAGCTGGGAAAGACAGTTTTGTAGTTTGTAAACTGTTAAGCTTTGAAAACTAAAGATGGTTTGGATCTGAGGGGTTTTTTCTTCATTTTTTTTGTTTGTTTTTTATTTTTTCCCTCCAATTATTTAAGTTTACATGCAGGGGTGTTTGTTTGGGGGTTTTTTGGGGGGTTGGTTGGTTTTTTTTTTTTGAGAGAGAGAATTTCATTACATTAGGATTGTCACAATGACATCTCCGCTGACATGGGTAGTTACCAAGTGTTGTTCTGACATTCAAAAAGGTGGTAAACTTAGTACTACTGAAACATAATGTTTCCTAAGTTGTATTGTTTAGCTTAAGACCCTGTTATGCTAAGGCATTGTTTGAGCAATGTTTTGATGATTTCCTTGATTTATAATTAAAAACCAAAAATGTTTGAGTTAATTGTGGTCTTTAAACAGTTATAGTGGATTCCCATATATCCCTATCAGGAAAAAAATCTGTGGGCTCACTTGGTAGGTGTGTTTTTGTTGGTTTTCAGGGGTGTTTGTTTTTGGTTTTTTTTTCCTTTAAAGTTTAATATGTGCTAAACAATAAATATATTGTATATTTTGATGTGTTTATCAGCCTTGCTGGTTTTGGATGTAGTCAGGCATCTCCTCAGTTAATTCAGATCTTTCACAGAGCATTGTGGAAAGAAGACAAAACTATTTTGTTGGCGTTAGCTGATGAATTTAGGAAAAAGTTGCAAACAAACTTCTAGGGAAGTTTGCAGAATACTTTATTTACAGATAGTCTTCGAGGTACTTCTAAAATTAACTAGATTTCAAGTGAAGACATTTGTGAAGCTTATGTGTTATGCAGCATATCAAAGCTGTGCAGGTGATTATTTGTAAATATTTTTTGTAAATAATTACAATTCCCCTCTTTATATTTTGAACTGCAGACCCACAAGATGAAAATAAAATTGGCATTGATGGGATTCAACAGTTCTGTGATGATTTAAGCCTGGACCCAGCCAGTATCAGTGTTCTGGTTGTAGCCTGGAAGTTCAGGGCAGCTACTCAATGTGAATTCAGTAAAAAGGAATTTGTTGATGGCATGACAGAGTTGGGGTGAGTATCTGTTTCTGCATAGTTCAAAATGTAAGGCCTGAGCTAGGTTTACATTTAAAATTTTTCTAATTGAATTAAGTGTGAACCTTCAAAAAGCTGGTAATGCTAGTGCCACCTTAACAGGTGCTAAATGGCTGTAGTGGCCCATATTTTTTGAATTGTTGCTTTACTGCAAAGCCTTAACAATGACCACAGTAAGGGTGAAGCAAAATAATTCCTACCTGTACAGCAAGGAAAACAGACAGATATGCTGATCTTTTCATGTAATTCATATGAACACATGCATGGTTATGTTAAGGCTTTGAGTTGGACCATGTGCTATTAAAAGCTGAACGTCACTGGAGATGTATGAAGGAAAAAAAAAAATTCAGTCAGTGTTGAAGCAGAAAAGAAACAGGAAAGCAGAGAAGAACCTTCAATTCTTTCCCTTTACCTTATCACCACCAAATGCAACTTTTTTTCTTTCTACCAGTTTTACAAACCATGGTTTTCTCTTATTGCCTTGTTTACTAGATACTTAATTTGTACAAAGTATCTATAAGAAATTGAAATAAAAACGAGGGTATTGGTTGTAGAAAAGATTGTTTAGTCTGACTGTGATGTAACTGATAAAAAATTTTTCCTGGATTATGGAGCTGTTCTGGATAATAGACTTTGAGGTTAAACCATGTTGCCTCTGTTTAGCAATAAAGTCAAGCACTTATCACCATAAAATAATATTTTGTGTATATCTTCTCCTTGGAAGAGATGCAGTATTTCTACTATACAGAGGTGTCAAAATGGTTTTGTTGCTTTTTTTTTTTAAAAACAGATTGCAGTGGATAGGTGGAGAACTACAGTTAATTAGTTGTGCATATTTTTTTGTAGCTAAATAATTTCATTTGATCTTAGAATGGCACCTTACCAATACCTTTCTATAGTAGACCAACTTCTCGCAAATGTGGTTGTTGTTTCTTGAGCAGGGGTCCTAGCAGTCTATTGTTACTGACCTCATCGGTTATTGACTTCTTTCTAAGCTTTCCTTTTTAGGTAAGGGTATTCAGAAATTGTGATGAAATAACTTTTGATATCATCTGAAGTGCACTGCTTTATTTTGTCCCTTTGGGTAGAGACTGTAAGAATAATTATGATTTTCTAGCCATGGAGAGCAATCAAGTGCTCATGCTGTTGTATCAAATAATGCTGGCAGCCTTTAATACAACTGATTGAAAAGGTTTTGCTAAACCACCTGTGGCTTCTGGCTTGGATTTTGTTTCGTAACTTTATTGTCACGTTGCTCCTGTGTCCTCATGACTGTCTCTGATACAGTTCCACAGACGTCTGTGATTGTTATCTCTTTCTGCTCAACACACAATATTGTGTTCTTGGGAGCATAAACTGATCATACCTGCTTGCCTGGTATAGTGCTTATTGAGGATTTGGAATGATCTTGTTACATACTGGAGGTGCAGTGTCTGTGGTTTTTAGCACTGAACATAGGTGAAGATTTGAATGAAAAGAAATTCCCTGAGGCTTAGTTCATATGGCACCTTTAGAATACATATGGGAAGGTGTGATATTTGTCCCTGTTGTTAACTAGATCAAGTCCTGGTGAAAATGAAGTTCTCAGTTGAAGACTGTTGGCAGAATTCTTTATCTTTTCTCCCCCAGGTACTGCTGGAGGCCAGAAAGGTACTTATTTTTATCTGTACCATGCAAGACAGTTAAAACTGCATCTGCATCTTACAGATTTTGCTATAATTATCCATCCTTTAATAAAATTATTCTTGAATCTTTAGAATAAAAACAAACATTTAACTACTGAGAACTTTCAAATGCGAGATGTTAGTTATGGTAGCTGCTTCTTTGAAACCTGTTTCCTTCACTTTGAGTTTCTAGGTACAGTTCAAAATATTGGTAATATCCTATAAACCTTGGATATTCATTTGGTTCCTTGGCGTGAGGGAAACCCTTTTTCTTTTAAAATTGCTTCTCATCAGCTCAGGTGCTTTCACTGAAAATGCTCTAGTCTTGTGTTATTAAGGGATGTGTTTCTACTAGAATCTCAGTAACTTGATTCTATCTTAGCTTACCTGTGCCAGGCTGTTAAATGGCTTGTCAGCCTTCAAGCTATTGTCAAAGGGTCATTTTTTTTTCCTAGGTTTTCTCTGCAAGTGTTCAATGAAGGGTAGAGGATGACTGCAAATCATAGTTCATTTTGTTGGAAAGTCCCCTAATGTTAAGGTTGACTGTAAACATAGTATGCAGCTCTTCATTTAGCTTGAGCAGAGGGAATAAATAATGTCTATCTAGATTAAAGCAAAAACCCACACCCTTGTGTTACAACAGCTATAAAAAGGGAAAGGATATCAGATTTCAGTGAGGTTTATATGTTCTTAAAGAACAGAGTAGCATCTATAGTTTGAGTTCATAAACTCATGAAGAGACTGAGAAAAGAAGTTAAACCACTAAATCCTGTTGGGGTTGTGTACTTAATGGATGCCTATATATAATGTTCCACTTAAAATTGTTTAGTAAAGACATATGAGTGTTTATATTTTTAAGAAAGCTATCCAGAAAGATACTTTGTTTTTATCTTAACTACTGTTTTATTTTGGTCTGAAACTAAACCTTAAAAAATAAAAAAAGAAAAAAAAAGTAAAGATAAATCTTAAATATTTACAAATAATGTAACTTCTTTTGAACAGGTGTGACACCACAGAAAAACTAAAAGCTTTATTGCCAAGATTGGAACAAGAGCTAAAGGATCCAATGAAGTTCAAAGACTTTTATCAGTTTACTTTTAACTTTGCTAAAAACCCTGGACAAAAAGGTCTAGGTAAGTAGAAAAAAATCGAGAAAATATCTACAGTGAAGTCAATTCCAAATTCTTCCAATAATACAGTTTTCTCATTGATGATTGTATAGTAAATTCATTATTGATTTCTTTCACTGACTTCTCTTTCCCATCTTCTTTCAATTAATCTCTTCTTTAATGTCCCCTTGGTACAGATAATTTAATGGGGTTCTCTGCTAGTATTGACATTCTCTCTCCTCTTGTCAAAGGAAGTTCCTGCAGTTCTTAGAGACCTGTCAGAATTATTTTTTTTAAAAAGACTGAGCTGGTAAGCTCCTTGTGTTTTCCATTTTGTTCAGAACAACTGAAACAAGATGTCCATATTGGCTTACAAAGAGGGCGAAAACTCTGGGCAAAAGTTACTATTTTTCTAAGAATTTTTAGTTTTAGCTCACAGTTTTTATGTAAAGTTTAGAAAAAGAATATTATGGACTTGGTTCAAAGCTAGTGAGTAGAAACAGGTATACAGTTTATAAAGTATTAGATTATTATTCTTTATATATAAAGTTTGAGATTTGTCCTAATCTATGCTTTGTATTGCTGGAGTGAAATGGATACGTTATTTAAATTCCAATGTTTTATTCTCTTCAAATAAAAAATATAAAAAAAATTAGATGAAAAAAATTGAAATTTGATATCCTTTCTTATGTCCACTTTCAAAAGACACTGTGTAGGAAGGAGTTAAACTGGTTTGTGTGTAGAATAACACCGTACCATCATCACTGTTCTCTTTGTGCTGTGGGTAAGAGGAAGTGGGGTTTTTTTAGCATAGCCACTTTAACTGGGTGTCTATGTTACTTGGCAAGCATGTTAATATATACTTTTTTTGTAAAACTGTTGGAAGAGTAGTGAGATGGAGGAGCAGAATATTGATTTAGACCTTCTCAACCAGAGACGTCTGTTCCACATTCTTTCCTGGGAATTACTTTGAATATCTCTTGTCTTTCCCAGTGTCTTTTTTTTTTTTTTTTTTTTTTTTTAAACTGGGGGCAACTTTTAGCCAGTTTCCATTTTTCTTTATTTTTTTGCAGCAATTTCATTTTTCATTACATGTCACTCTTTCATGGGTCATGTGCCACCTTTCCAAACACCAAAATGAAATAGTCTTATAGTGTTTCTGTGAGGCTGCTTGGAATTCAAGTCCCTTAGTAGTTGTTTGCTTTCTTGCCTCTCTTCATTAAAAAGCCTAGTACTTTCAGATTGCGGAAAAGGTAAGTCAGTTACAGCTGAGGTTGGAATTTATGGGATACCTAAAGAAATATTACAAATAGCTTCCTGTTTTAATTGGATCACTTCCAACATGAAACTCATGTACTTGGGAAATATGTCTCAAAAGCTTTTCACCTAAGCCTGTACACAGAGAGGGAGAGGGAAGGCAGCCCAGCCCAGATTATGGAACCAAATGTACTGTTTATTTGACATGAGGAGGAAGAAGGAAACTTACTTGTTTTGCATTACTTGTGTTTATTTGGTATGGAGGCCCTTTCATTTGTAAGTCTGTCTTCTCTGTTGTGTAAGAATGGTACTTTTGGGCAATAAAACACCTAAGTGCCTTCTTGCACTAAGAGTTGAAGTATTAGCAGGAGAAAGTAAGAAGTGCAAAAGTTAAAGTTAAGCTTAAAATAAACTGTAGAAAGAGTTAACTGGAACCATTGCTGATCTCGGTTTTCAGGAATTTTAAGAATTCTGGTAATACTGTTTCTTAATTTCAAGTAGTGCTTAGTTCTTACATGGAAGGATTTTGGTGACATTTTTGGTCAGACTTTTTCTGGTTTTGCTAAGATGATTCTAGATATTAAATAAATATAAGCAATTGCCACTGCTCTTCAGTGGAGATATACCATATTTCTGTCTGGTGCGAACTTGGATCACTATAGGTTGAGTAGAAAGAGAGTGCTGAGCAAGCATATTGACTGATATGACATTTTTGAGTGATTGAGGTCAGTGATAGCTTATCCAAATAAAAATTAACACTGTATAGGTTTGGAGTTGGACTCTTTTCGGGGAATGCTGTTATAGTGGAGCAGAGAGGTGGAGGAAAAAAATAAGTTTACAGGTTGGTGTTTACAACCTACCGCTTCCTGCTGCAATTATTCTAAGAGTTATGTTTGTTCCCTTTCAGCAAAAAAGTGTTCAACAAGGAAAAAAAATTCAGTCAATTATCTTATGGGAGTGTCTGTCTGAGCTGAGAATTCTAGTTGCTTCAGCTACATTTAGTATAGGCTTAGGTGCTTTTTTTATTTTACATTCTCTTCTCTGTATCCACTATGCATTTTCTCCTAGAATGAGAAACTGTCCATCTTCCCTCCTTATCTCCACAGCTGATGTAGAGATGTTTGGTATTTGTGTCCCAATGACCATGTGCCCTATAGTCAAGGAGATGCAGGGATTTATCTCATCCATGTACAAAGTCTGTTTCTACCTTACTAAGTTTGGAGCCTTGGCTCAGGATGCTTTATGAATTCAGTCCAGACAGTTAAACAGAATGTATAATTAGATTTGTTACCAAGTGAGCTGATATAAATCTCTGCCTAGCTCTGTCTAGGTCATCTTAAGGTGTTGACCTCCCTTTCTTCTGCACATGCACGTTGGTAACATGCAGTGCTACCGAAGTATGGGATGCTGCTAAGCTACTGCCCTAGCTGCTTGCCTTAAAATGTTTCTGGTGACATGCTCCCATGATAGGGCTTGCCTACTTATTCCCATACGTTCACATATGAATTACGACGTGAAGACTAAGAGGTCAGTAAGTTTATGTCAAGTAGGGATAAAAGGGAATGGTTTTAATTAATGAAGTGGAAATAATCAAAGGAATTTTTTCCTAACTTTCAATTGCAAAATATTTTATTGTGATTTTTCTGTGGTGTGAAGTATCCAATGCTTCCTCTTGCTACACTTGGTGCTTATATCACCGAGGCTGGTAGCTGTTGCACTCATTGTTTAGGGGAGTGATCTGTAGGCTAAAAGAATATTGCTTGATTCTCAGGTATACACATGACCTATGAATACTCCTATTTGAAAACTAAGCAAATTTGACATAGTGCCAGTGACAAATGGGAAAGTCTTATTCTTAGCAGATTGTTAATAAAAACTTTTTATAAAAGAAGGCATAATTAAAATGGTCCTTCTGTTGGATCCTTCAGGCTTACTGCTAACGCATCTTTTTTTTTCTTGACAGAAATAACTCTTGAGAATAGAGCTCACCAGGAGAATGTCTGTGATAGGCAAAGAAGACTCATTTATGCAATTATTTTTCATGTTTCTTATCTTAACATATTGAAACTATAAGAAATTACTGAAATACCTCTAAAATGTCCGAACAGTGATGCTTTGGTTAAGAGTCATGTTCATTGCTCTCGGTATTTTAATATGTTTCAGATTACTTTTTTTTTTTTAATCTATTTCTGCTGTTCTAAGAAGCAATAAGCAGCAGTTATCACTTTATTTTTTTGCCCCATCTCCCCTGAAGGACATCAGGAAATATGGTGATTCATGGGTTCCTTTTTAATATGCTAGATGGTCTCTGAATTTAAGAGATAGAGAAACACTTATATAGTGTATTCCCTTGTGCCAGATAGGATCAACATCTACCAAAACCATTCCTCACACATGTTTTTCAAACCACAAGTTCAGTGGTATGCTAGCAATATATAATTGCTAATTTGCTTTTTCAGTTTCAGTAGTTACCAGGAAGATTTGAGATCTGATTGGCAGTGGTCCTCTGGCTGAAAAAGGAGCCACTGCCTTCACGTAATATAATCTTAAATTTCCGATGGCAGGTCTCATACATACAGGTCCATGCTTGGTCAAACCTATTGTTAGATATTTTTTTTTTCTTTTTCTAGCATATAATTTAAATTTCTGTTCCTGAATTCTTCAGTTCAGTACTTACCTGTCCAGCGTAAATAAGCAGAATACATGTTTCCTTAGAGTTAGTAACAACTTTTTACGTATTTGGAAACCATGTATGTGTCTTCCCTTAGTCGGTTTTACTCAGTCCAGAGACTACCCTGATAAATTTTATCTTCCAGTTCTGTGACATGGGAATTGTATCTTCCAACTCACTTTTCCTTTGCAATCCAATTGATCTAACTTTCTCTTGTCTAGCTTGTTTGGGTACAAGAAGATATCTTCCACGTGCCTTAGATATTTTGCTCCTTGTTTTACATCCCATTATAAAGTGTACTTATGTTTATAACACTGATACTGTCTGCAGTTTGTGATCTGTTCTATTATTGGGTTTCTGCAGAACTGCATTGCACCCAGTTAATTCTGATCTTATATTTCTGCAGTCAGTTATTCCCACTAGCTATATGACTGCACTTTTCTTTAATGAAATCTCTTATTTATTTCCAAGTGGTTTTCCTATTTGTCCAAATAATTTTGAATTCTAATTCTGTCCTCTACCATACTATGCTTTTTTCAGGCTTTGTATAAGTTGCAGATTTAATAAAAGTTTTCTTTGTTGTATCACCTCAGTTACTTAAGTACTGGACAGTGTTAGATACAGGACTGACTCCCATGGGCGAGTTACTTTCTCCCAGTTTGGCAGAGAACCACTGAAGTTCTTCTAGAACCTCATTTGACCTCTATGAAGTCTCAAAGATGGTAGGCAGCAGTTTGAGATTGCTTCAGCATACTGAGATAAATTTCACCATGTCTAGCCTCTATTTGGGCACCAGTGCTTCCAGACTGAATTTCTAAAAGTTGTTTCTGAGATTACTGTCAGTTTTCATTGAACATTTTTGCCTGGAGCATATCTTGAAACAAAAATCTCTGTGTATCCCAAACATTTCTCTTTTGGGAGATATCAGCAGGATGCGTAGTATCTTTTATTACACCAGCTGCTATTTGTAAGGGAGGGAGTGGGAAGGCATAGAAGCCCTTCTTAGAAGTTTTTTTGGTAATAGAAGAATTTTGGTCAGACCTGACACAGTCATCTTTGCGATGCAGTGGATTTTGCTCCAGGAAAGCGGTCCGGG